TGTCGATCCCTGTGACAGAGGCCTTGATAACGTGGAAGGACTTCCAGGCCTGTATGCCATGGGAGATCAGTCTGCTCGTGGGTGGCGGTTTTGCTTTGGCTGAAGGAACAAAGGTAGGATCATGATTTAATGGAAACTCAACTATATCTGTAAGAGAAAAAAGAGAAATGAATATAAAAGTGCAAGACCGCATTAATAGATGAATCAATTACGGGTACTTTTTACAGGCCTGGATTCAATTAAACAGGCCAGTCTAATTCACTGGTGGCTTTGGACAGACTTGGACAGCTCAATTGCTCCCTTTACTCATCATTTTAAAACATTCATTTCCTTGTAGAAGAAATAAATGAAAAGACAGATCACATCAAAGCCTCGTAACAGCGCGCAGCCCATTAACGTCGCGAGGAGAACAACAATTTTACTGTGTCACTCTCAGTCTGCTTCCATTTAAGCTAATGTTCCATTTAAGCTAATTACATGCCTCCATTATAAGACTGGCACTGAAGCACGTCGTTTCAGCATAACGGCTCCTTCTTCATGTCAGTCGCAAAAACGGGAAACAAGAGCGTCTACTTCTTAATATTCTCCTGGTGTAGGTGGGCTGGGGTGGGGTCTTATCATCAAGGCTCCAGCGCTGTTTCGATACAGACACCCAAATGTCACGGCAAGTCCAGTCTTTAATATGTTCAAAGCAGAAAGGGTGACTACTGTGCTGCATTCTCCATATCAGGCTGTCTGCATGCCATATCTTGACAAACAGTTAAATTACAACTCCAGACCCCGTTGACAAGCGTACAAAGAGATGTTGGTACATTTATCAAAGTTCATGAATATCTTGGTTGGACACTTTCACTCACCTTCCAAAGATGATCTGACAATTTTCCTTTATTTTTCACCCGACAGATTTCTGGTTTATCGTCTTGGGTTGCTGAATTGCTGACTCCCTTGGGAAGCCTTCCTCCTTTAGCTACTGTCACCATTGCCTGCCTTATTGTTACCTCTATCACAGAGGTGGCCAGCAATGCTGCCACAACGACAATCTTTTTGCCAATACTGGCCCCCTTGGTACGTGTTATTTCAATATATGTAAAATATAATGAATGTTACTTTCATGTCACTTTTTTGGGCTATTCTCATCACAAATGATTTTTGTCAGGCTGAGGCAATTGGAGTCAACCCTCTGTACATGCTGGTTCCCACGGCCCTGTGCGTGTCCTTTTCGTTCCTGCTTCCGGTTTCTAATCCTCCTAATGCCATTGTCTTCACATACGGTCATCTTACAAGCTTGGACATGGTGAGTCCCTAGGGTTTTGTTCTTGTATTTTGCATTGTAGATTTCATAATGCATCAAAGGTAAATACTTGTATACAGTAACTAAGCGTTGAATGGTTTCCTTGTCACTATAGGTAAAGGCAGGGCTGGGCTTAAACGTTATAGGCATTCTTACAGTCCTATTAGCCCTCACAACATGGGCAACACCTCTGCTTAACCTGGACACCTACCCAGACTGGGCACCAGTGGTAAACAACACTGGAGTATGACCATCAATGTGAAAATCATAGAATTGTGGACAGTTTAGTAATAAAGTTACATGGGATCCCTCACAGTTGGCTGATTTGTTGACAGGGCAACTTCCACAATCCAAATGTTTTACTTGTTTGGATCACTTGGGCAACCAGCATGCGTTTAGAAATACAACAGACTGAATGCTTTGGGTTCCAGATGTTCGGTTTGAACATCATTGTTTATATATTTTTGTATTATAAGCAGTTTTATTAATCTTTGTGATCATTGTGTCAAATTTGTAATTCCTTTTGCCATTTATTCTTTTGAGGGGTTCAAAGAGACTAGTAAACGCTGTTTAAAACAGGATGCTTTGGTGAACAATGTATGTGCACAATTAAACAGTACAATGTTTATACAAAATGTATTATATTCAAAATATTTTTTAAACTCTAAGAAGAATTTGTGTGACAGGGTTAGTCTCGTCGGTAAACATAGCACTTAATGTTATATATGATTGTATATTTTTGTTATACTCTAGCATGTACATATATATATATATATATATATATATATATATATATATATATATATATATATATATATATATATATATACAGATAAGTGAACTGTATAGTAGAATGTTGAAATTACACTGTGAACCAAGGAAGGAGTAAATGACAGACAACATCTCATGTTCAACTTTAGACACTGACTTATCACAGACTTGCACATAACAGTGGCCAGCAAATAATTAGGTAAATTACTAAAAGTTACTATCAAAAAAGTGGCCATTTTTAGCTTTTTCTCCTGTTGAGTTTTAAGGGCATTAGTCAGAGTATTCAATAGTTTTAGGTCAGATAACAAAGACATATTTCGTTAAATTTACAATGTGTTTTTGTTTGTTTCAATACTATTTTAAAATTCACCTCACAGAATACTGCACTTTGAATGAAAACTCAGTGTTGTTTTTAGTTAACATCTATTGTTCATATATGTGCTCCTTGTGAGATGTTTCTTGTTACGACTAAAACTGCGAGAAAGTTACTTTTGTCCTTGTGTTCTTTGAGAATTATTTGTCTATATGAGTCCATGTGGACACAGCACAAAGTCAAATCAGTCTGGAGTGGACATGTGCTTCACTGTTTTTGCAAGAAAAACAACAACATTTAAATAATATACAACCAGAACCATTCATAGTCATCATGTTCTAGCGGGACTTCATACTGATTTTAAAAAACAATGCTTTGAAAAACTGTGTTGATTGAACTGTGCACTGAGTGGATTGTCTCGTCTCTAATTACTGAATCCCAAAATTAAATGTTTTGACACATCTAGTCAGGGTGGCAGCCTTATCAAAGAGATTCAAGAGGCAGATTAGCTTTGATGAAATGAGGTTACAGAGAAAAACGATCATCCATTTATGTATGTCTGCAGTGGAGGCTGTTTGAACAGAAGTAATTCACATACACAGAAAACAGCTCTGAAAGTATCTCAATAAAATAATGTCTTCCCATTTTCATTAGGAGGGAAAACTGTACAATAATAAAAACTTATACGACTTTAGAACTAATGTAAAACAAAAGAGGAGGCACTAATGTGCCATCTAAATGGGCTTGGGCTAATATTTGTTCTCAAAGTGAGGCAGTGATGAGAACTAATTCTGTAATCCACCCACATTATCAAAATTTATGCTTGGATCCGTCAGCCATTGTAATTCAAGGTCACTGTTCAGTAATGTCTGATTTAATGACAGCCTGTATGAAGGGTCTAATCTGATTATGTATTTAACACTTATTTCTTATATCTACTTAATTATGGTGCAAGGACTACTGAGTTGAACCTTTAGGAATAGCTTTTCTCCAAGCGCTGTGAGTCATCAACATCATATAATTTCTCCCTGGGTACACAGGTCAGCAAGCTGAATATGAACTGTGGTTTGCTTTAATTGTTCAGATATTTTAACATCAAATTTCCATTATTAAATTAGGTTTCCATTGACACTGGGCGAGGTGCCTTTTCACTGTCCGTGATCAATTTATTTCTGAATCTGCCTTTTCACCCTCTCCATTAGAAATGAATGACTTCTGGTTCAGTCTGTGGAAAGCAGTGAAAAGGTTGCTTTAGTCAGGGCTCGCTGTCAGCAGAAGGTGAGTGACCGTTAACCACTGTTTCGAATATTTCCCGCTTGTAATTAATGCGTGCCGCACTTACCTCAAATTACCTGTGATTGAAAATGGCTGTGAGGGTACATTTTGTAATGATTGTAATATTTTTCACTTTGCTGTCAATCATTCACTTGATGGAATATTTCAAAACTTCCCTTACTCTTGCAGCCACATCTATTTTCTGATGAAGTGTTCACTGGCGAGGGCGAGACAACCTGTCACTCACGAGATCGCAGCAATAGCAAGCGACAATTCAATGATCCAATCAATTCCCGATGGACAAAATCAAGTCCTGCCCTACACATTTTTTCTTGTTTGAGAAGCTGTTTCACTCGGATATACGTCACTCACAAAAGGGAAGAAAAGACTATCCCTGCATCCCAATGTCCATACTATCCATCTTAAATAGTATGTGAGATTAGAATAAGTAGGCTATGTCCTAAAGCATAGTAGGTTGAAAAAGTTTGTCAAAAGTCCCCGGATGATCTACTATTTCCGGTAGATTTTTGAAGTGTGGATCCATGCACACTCTAAAGGCTAATATTGCCCACAAAAAAAGTAGGCTATGTGACAAGAAATGTATGTCCGAATTTACAGTACTCATAATAGAGTAGGTAAAAAGTACCCGGATGACCTACTTCTTCTGGCGGGAGTCTGAAGTGTGCATATGATGGACACTTTACTATCCCATGAGGCCACGGAGAGGATTTGTGAATGACAGTGAAGCGACATAACTGACACTGGTAGGTCACATGATAATGACAACACCATGGCGAATATAGTAAATCCAGATTACACACATTCATACTATATAGAACATACTTTTTTTTTTAAGCGGCTGTGAACTAATTACTATTTCAAAATAAGTTACTAAGAGAGTAGCAATTTTGGATGTAGACACACATGCTGACTTTAAATTCCATTATTTCTTCCTTTTACACAGCCATGACTTTTTGTAAATTATACACTTATGACTTATCAATATCTGTATATATTTGTATATATGTACATAAATATAATTTTTTTTTCTAACACAGTTTCACATTTTTCTGTTCTATCTATAGACTTCATGCCAAAAAAAACAAAAGAAAATATATGCACAAAGAATTATAGTGAGCATTGATTGGCATTGATTTTGATAATCAATCAAAATGAATAGGTGCAACGCTGAATTTATGAATATCAATGTGCTAACCAATATATTGTGGTGTAAAATGTAACATGAAAAAGCATTAAAGTTGTATCGGAATCTACAGACTGCACCTTTAAGAAGGGAACCTCCCACGTGTTGCATGTTGTCCATGCCACAGGTTGCCTACCTGTCTCGCATAACTCTGCACTCCACACACTCGCGCTCTCTTCTCAAGAGAGATAAAAAGAATGTGGCTTAATCCCATCGTCACCGAACCGTTCTCGGATTGACTCCGCCCTCAAAAGTCTCGCGACTGACACATTTTGTCATTCTCTCAGAAAAAAGAAAAAAAAAAACTCAGCTTTTGTGGTCGAGGTAGTCAGAAACCTCTCGGGTTTCGTAGCTTTTCCCACAGCTGTGAGGAGTTGTCGCCTCTTGACTGTCGACTATGCTGGACCCGTCCTCCAGCGATGAATCTGAGGGAGAACTACCACCTGAGGACGAACCGCCCGTTAAACCTGGGAAACCTGTTAAAAAGAGTACCAAACCCGAAAAGACGTCGGACGCCCCGCGTACCCAACCCAAGGAACAGGTCCCTTCTCCCGCTGAGGCGGACAAAACCGAGCAGGAGAGAATTAAGAAAGAGGAGACGGAGAGGAAAATTAAACTACAGATTTATGTGTTTGTGTTGAGATGTATCGCGTATCCATTTAACGCTAAACAGCCCACAGATATGGCTCGTCGTCAGCAGAAGGTGAGTGACCGTTAAACCACTGTTTAGAATATTTCGCGCTTGAAATTAATGCGCGCGTGCCGCACTTCACCTAACTCAATCCACTGAAATTGCCGCTTCCAAACTTTGTCTTTTTACAAAAGAAGGTTTTTTACAGGTTTTAGAAAAGATTTGTATGTCTGACAACTGCAAATGGTTGTGCATCACACTTCTGGGTGACTGAAATATGTTTGTTTACTACCCTTTTACCTGTGTCAGGTATTAATTATTTAGAGGATCAACCTAAGTCAATTAAGCATTGATAAAATGAAATTTAGCTCTGATGAAGATGAAATTTAGCTCTGTAGCTAATTCTGGGACAGTTTCTTACTGTCCATTGTCCCTGTTAAGTAAAAAAAAATAAAAAAATAGTGCAAGCAAAGGTTAGTATCACGCTTTAACCCTCTCTATTGCAGGCATTTTGAAGTTAGAACATTTTTGATAGCTTTTTTTTTTTTGTGCAAAAGACTGACTTCCTTTAACAAATCCTAAATGCACAAGCATTTGCAGTAGCCAGCAGCCATATCACCCTGTAGCCCAAGACTGGTTGCCCACTGAAGCTAAGCAGGGCTGAGCCTGGTTAGTACCTGGATGGGAGACCTCCTGAGAAAACCAGGTTGCTGCTGGAAGAGGTGTTAGTGAGGTCAGCAGGGGGTGCTCACCCTGTGGGCTGTGTGGGTCCTAACGCCCCAGTATAGTGACGGGGACACTATACTGTCAAAGAGCACCGTCCTTTGGATGAGACGTTAAACCGAGGTCCTGACTCTCTGTGTTCATTAAAAATCCCATGGCACTTCTCGTAAAGAGTAGGGGTGTAACCCTGGTGTCCTGGCCACATTCCACCCATTGGCCCCTGCCAATCATGGCCTCCTAATAATCCCCATCCACTGAATTGGCTCTATCACTCTCTCTCCTCTCCACCTATAGCTGGTGTGTGGTGAGCGCACTGGAGCCGTTGTACTGTGGCTGCCGTCGCATCATCCAAGTGGATGCTGCACACTGGTGCTGGTTGAGGAGAGAACCCCTGATATGATTGTAAAGCGCTTTGGGTATACAGTAGTACATATGAAAGCGCTATATAAATGCCTCATTCATTCATTTTTAGGTATGTTGCTTAACATGTGACAATGGAATGAAATCAATCATGCTTTTATTTATTTAAAAATGTGTAGTGAAATTGAGTGATGTTAAATAATGTTAAACAAGTTTCTTATATTAAGGATTAGTGTGATTTTACACTAACTGCAACATGACAATCTTTATAGAATTAACCTTTTACCATAATTCACCTGAAATGTAAATTCTAAAGTTTGATATTTTAATAATGAATAATGCATTTATAAAAAAAATTACATGACCGCTGATATATGCACAGTATTCCTCATCTCGTAAATAACATGGCATACCAATATGTTACTTATTTATGATGTGAGAAAAAACGATTAAAATTGCTTTTCTGAAGGCAGTTCTCCAGAGCAAAAATGAGCAACTCTGTGCTCCATGCCAGAAAAGGATCCTAAAATGACCACCAGGATGTAGTGTGACCAAGAACAACTTTTTATTGCTTCATGGCATCTCTTCATATTTCTGTTGTCAGATTATATGCAGCATGTGCTTGAAATGTGTACAAATGGATTTGTTACTCTAAGGTAACAGGGTGCAATATCACTGTAAATACAAAAATATAATTTTGATCATTTTAGGGGCCATTTGGGGATCTCAGACTACCTCACTGGTAGACTCCTTTAGATAACCTCTCGGCACCCTTTCGAAAGGTCAGTTCTCCAAGGAACATGAAACTTCATGCAAGAACTCTAAAGATCAATAATTCCCTCAGTAACCCCATCAGAAGGGAAATGCTTTGAGGCACTTGAAACTTATTTTGAACTTCTTGTGAACACAATTTGAGGCACCTTCAGAAGGGTGCCTTGAGGCTCTCAAGAGGGTTCTGCCAGTGTGGAAGACTGAGGAACCCCAAATGTTGCCTCAAGTATCTTTTCATTTTTACAGTGAATGTTGCACCATGTTGCTTCAGGGCAATAAACCAGTTGTCTTGCAGATGAGATGCATACTAATAAAGAATGGGATGGGGATGGGGATGGTTAAATGATTACTCTTGGTCACACTGCATCATGGTCATTTTAATATAATTTTTTGGCATAGTATATTGTGCAGAGACTGAAAATTCTGTCGTTCCAAACCAATGCTTTCATTCATCTTCGGAACACAAATGAGAGAATATTAAAAAATCTTTTTGACCATCCATTGAAAGTCTAGCTAATCAGCATTTTCAGGCTTAGGAACAACATGAGTCGGATTGAATGATGACAGAATTTTCATTTTTGGGTGAAATATCTCCTTAACGGAGACACATTATGCCCCTTTTTATAAGATCCGATGTAATAATTCTTAAGTGTCCCATATGTCTGTGAAGTTTCAGCTCAAAATACCCCACAGATCAGTCATTTTACCTAAAATGGGTGGAAGTAAAAACACAGTTTTTGTGTTTATCATTGTCTGTCAGCAGACGCCCCAGGGATTACGTCATCACGTTGGAAACGTCACGCGTCACGTCATCTATCTAAGTTATTTGTCTGTGTACTCCGGTTCAAAAAGGCAGGGAAGGGTGAAAAATTCCATCTCATTTTCTCCCGTTTTCTCCTCCAACTTCAAAATCGTCTGACATCTTTGTTTTAATTTATTATTATTATTTTAAAAAAAAAATGTTGTGACGTTTCCAACGTGATGACGTAATGCCTGGCGCTTCGCCGACCAGCACAAGACGAACAATTGTGGTTAAAAATTATATAAATTTGTTTTTTTTTAAATGACCGATCGTTTCGTTAGATAAGACCCTATTCCTCAGCTGGGAACGTGCAGAGCCCTTTGAAGCACATCAAAGCCCTTTGAAACTGCATTTATTTGGACTTCAAAACGTTGGTTGCGCTTGAAGTCCATTGTGTGGAGAAAAATCCTGAAATGTTTTCCTCAAAAAACTTAATTTCTTTTCCACTGAAGAAAGAAAGACATGAACATCTTGGATGGCATTTGGGTGAGTAAATTATCAGGAAATTTTCATTTTGAGGTGAACTAATCCTTTAACGAGGATTAATCTATATTTAATTTATAATTTATGCAGTGCAGACTGAAAATATTATACCCAGTTGAGTTCACCTCTGACCGCTCGGGTTGACGCCTAAGTTATTCTGTCCGCATAAAATGCCTAAGAGTTATAGTTACCTGACAGCAATCTAACCCCGCCTAACGGTAGAGATCCACTTTTGCGACACGACAGTCGCGTGTTGTCGCGACGCCTCCCCACATTTGTACATTGATGGGCGTTCCTCAAGTTTACCGCTATGGGCGTGGTTTTGAGCCAGCGGCCAGTCTAGAACAGAGGACCTGCGAGAGACTTCCCTCCGTCTCCATATGCTCTACTTCTATTGGATAGTCGCGTCGTGTTCAACGGAATTCATTTGCATAAAGATGGGCATCGGTCAGCTTTTTGACGCGCAGCATTTTTCTAAATGAAGCGTCGCCTTCCCAGAATGCTTTGCGGGCGCGTCAAAGTCGCATGACGTCACCCATAGGAATAAAGCGGAGCGCGGCGCGACAGAAGTGCCGTACGGAGTGGGTGGATCCGCACCGTAAGAGTCTCACAAAGAGTTGAACGACGTCTTTTTCCGTTCGAACACTATCACTTGGGAATAAGGTCTCTTGTGTTCTTAACCCACTCCACACTATCACTTGGGAAAAGAAATAAAAAATAACTTGTTCCACTAACTAACTTGCTGCACAGCAATAATAACCGACAAACTTCAGACAATGTCTTTGAATATGCTTTAATCACGGCCGGAGGATCTCAGACAAATTTCAGAGAGAATCCCACCAGCAAAAAAGAATACAACAGTTTTTATAGAATAGAGCATCACAGTCCCGCCCACAGCCGGTGCCGGAAGTAAGAATTCAATACAATTTCTCCATTGACAGTTGGGGTATAAGCCATAAAAACGTAACCATACATGGTAGACTTAAAACCAGCTTCGGCTGTACTAAGCGATTGTATATGCTCATATAAACGCCAAAAGTTCATGGGGCACTAACCTTGTTTTAAGATAAATGCCTTTTACTTGCGATGTCTTGGATAAGTACTTCATTACCCACAATCCTGAACAATCCCACAATCCCACAGTGATGCATCTGATTGGTGGAAGTCGTGTAACTGTCTGGTTAAACCCCGCGAAGGTCCGTGAAGACTGAAGATTGCTTAATGGCGTAGGGCTAGTTCATTGGTCGCACGTCAGATTCGCCCGCGCCATTGGATGTGCAGTTGCCGCAGCACAGCCTATGAGCGAGCCAGATGCTCAATGTGTTAGCTGTGCAGCTGCAAATGCGTTTTACATATAAGCTTTAGTAAATCGAGGAAAAGGAGTTTCCCTGCACAGGAAAAAGTTTGCGTGGCCGTCGTCAGATTTGGAAGTCGCTCAAAAGGCTCTTTCGCGGTTGTGGCTTCAGTCGACTTCAGTGAGGCGCGGTGGTTTATGGGATGAGTAGTTCCTTCGCTCGGAAATGAAAATATGTACACAGTCTTGTACCTTGTAAACTTTTTTTTGATTTTCTCTTAGTTTTTTCACTCGAAATGATATGTTGTATGCTTATGCAGACTGATCTCATGAAATGGCGTATGTATGACACGCCAATTCGTATTTCCATTTTTGGCGTGCTATCAACACGCATAATCGCTTTTCAGCGTGTTTATCAACGCCTTTGACTTAACGTTATATTACTGTATTATGTATATATAAATATATGACCTACCCCAACCCCGTCCCTAAACCTACCCGTCACTGGGGTTAATACCATTTATGAGTCTTCTCCTACCATCCTAGGAAAAGAAATATCGCTCCACAGATGTAGATATAGATTTTGCTTCGTTTCGCTCGGACATTTAACGGCGTAGACATACACGCGGAATCACTCGG